GATGAAGGAGCAATGAATGATGGAGTGATGAAAGAGTGCAGAGTGATGAATGATGGAGTGATGAAAGAGTGATTAGAGGAGTGATGAATGATGGAGTGATGAAGAAGTTTTGAGGGATGAATGTGTGATGAGTGATGGAGTGATGAACGAGTGAGGAGTGATGGAGTGATGAAGGAGTGAGGAGTGCTGAAGGAGTGATGAGTGATGGAGTGAGGAGTGATGAGTAATGAAGGAGTGACGAGTGATGAACGAGTCATGAGTGATGGAGTGATGAGTAATGAGGGAGTGATGAGTAATGAACGAGTGATGAAGGAGTGAAGAAGGAGTGATGAACGAGTGATGAGTGAAGGAGTGATGAAGGAGTGATGAAGGAGTGATGGAGTGATGAGTGAAGGAGTGATGAAGGAGTAAGGAGTGATGAAGGAGTGATGAAGGAGTGATGGAGTGATGAGTGATGAATGAGTGATGGAGGAGTGATGGAGGAGTGATGAGTAATGAAGGAGTGAGGAGTGATGGAGGAGTGATGAAGGAGTGAACACACTGCATGGAGACGATGGAGGGCAGCCGGGCGGAGCTCCCGCTCTCCACCAGCATCAGCGCCTGCTTCCTCTCCAGCTTGTTGTAGAAGGAGATGAGCTGCGGCTCGCTGGAGCGCTCGCCGGCGATGAGCCACTTCTTCACGTAGGTCTTGTTGAAGCGGTTCAACCTGCGGGCGGAGGAACATCAGCTGTTGGTCGTGAAGAACAAGCCAAGAAGAAGTTTTATTGTTTTTCGGGTTCCTGGACTCGTCAGAAGCTGCAGTTTCATCTGAACGTCACAGAAATGACAAGAGTCTGTTTTTATAGAAGACGCTGACTCAACATCTGGATCCAAACTGTGACACCACGATTCAAATTATTCTGCTCTTGAACTTAAAACAGAAACAAACAAATGTTTGAGAATAATAATTTCATGTTTGTAGAATGTGCAGCTCTTTCTGAAAACTTGTCAAACGTCAAGTGTTGTGCAGGACCTTCTCCTGAACTTCAACAGTGAAGAAACGTTGTGTTCAAAACGAGGAGCGTACTTGTCCTTCCAGTGATGATGTCCATAATGTCCACAGATGTCTTCGATTCCCGTCAGGAGATGATCCAGGAACTGGAGGAAACGTTTATTAGAGACACGGAGAAAACATCTGAGATCAGCACTTTGAGCAAAAACAGGACTCGAACTCTCACCTGAGTGTGAATCTCCTCGTTGATCGACCGCTTGGTTTCCTTCTTCCTCTTCACCGCCAGGAGATCCACCAGAGGCCGGATGGTCATCCCCTGAAGGACACAAGTGGTGTGAGTAAATCAAGGAGCAGATCCAGGTGTCCTGCAGCCTCAGGCTCACCTGCACAAACACGGTGAAGAAGATGACGGTGATGATGGCGGTGAGGAACATGTGCTTCGTGTCGTCGTCGGGCAGCAGGAACCCCAGAGAGAAGGCGATGGCGCCTCGCAGGCCACCGTAGGCCACGATGAACTGGTCCTTTTTGGTCAGTTTCACGATACGAAACTTGTTAATGATGAAGGTGAGCCCGACGACTCCTGAACCCAGAGACACGGGTTTTAAAAAGAACTTCAAACGTTTAATAAAAAACAACTTCAGAAGAAAAAATGACTTTTAATGTTCAACATTTACATTAAAACAACTTCATCTCCCAGTTGTTCAACCTGTGCTGCACCTCTGATGATCTTCTCCATCCTTGTCTCTCCTAAGAAGAACCTCAACATCTTCATTTCTGACACTTCCAGTTCTGTCTCCTGTCTTTTTGTCCATGTCTCTGTCTCCAGACCATACAACATAGCTGGTCTCACCACTGTCTTGTAAACTTTTCCTTTGACCTTTGCTGACACCCTTTTGTCACAAATCACTCCTGAAACTTTTCTCCATCACTCCATCCCGCCTGGACTCTCTTCTTCTCCTCTTCACCACACTCCCCATGTTCCTGGACAGTGGACCCCAAGTCCTTGAAGTCCTGCACCTTTGTGACCTCTGCTCCTTGTAGCCTCACTGTTCCACCTCCTCCCTCTCATTCACACACATGGACCCTGTCTTACTACGGCTGACTTTCATTCCTCTTCTTTCAAGTGCATACCTCCACCTCTCCAAGTTCTCTTCCACCTGTTCCCTGTTCTCACCACAGATCACAGTGTCATCTGCAAACATCATAGTCCACGGGGATTCCTGCCTGACCTCAACTGTTAGTCGGTCCATCACCAGAGCAAACAAGAAGGGGCTCAGATCTGATCCTTGATGCACTCCCACCTCCACCTTGAAGCTATCTGTCACTCCTACAGCACATCTCACCACTGTCCTGCTGTCCTCATACATGTCCTGCTGTCCTCATACATGTCCTGCTGTCAGATGTTTTTTCTAAATCCACAAAGACACAATGGAGTTCTTTCTGACCCTCTCTGCACTTCATCATCATCATCCTCAAATCAAAGATGGATCTGTGGTGCTCGTTCTCAGCATGAAACCATCCTGCTGCTCACAGATAGTCACCTCTGGTCTAAGTCTTGCTTCCACAACTCTCTCCCAGATCTTCATCGTGTGGATCATCAACTTAATTCCCCTGTAGTTGCTACAACTCTGTACATCACCCTTGTTCTTAAAAATGGCCACCAGCACTTCTTCTGCGTCACATAAAGAAGAAAATATCAAAAATCACGGGTTTAAGAAACTACGTCCGTGTACTGACCCAACACTCTGGACACGAGACAGAGGACCAGGGTGAAGACCACAAAGATCCAGTTCCAGTTGTGAGGTCCCTCCACTGTGGACACTCCGAGGAAGATGAAGATGAGGGTCTCGCTCACGCTGCTCCACATCTTCAGGAAGTACTTGATGGTGGTGTAGGACTTGTGGGAGATGTTGGCCTCCACGTACGGCCTCATGACCACACCGCAGGCGATCAGACTGGAAGGAGGCGGAGTCAGAGAAGATCAGCTGGTCTGAGCACGAGACCTCCAAAGGTCTGCTGTGGTATCTGACACCGAGCCGCCAGCACCTCCGGCAGGTGCCCGACCCCGAGCTCTACTTACGACATGATCCCCGACAGGTGGAAGACTTCTGCAGACAGGTACGCCATGTAGCTGTAGAGGAAGACGAAGAGCGGCTCGATGACGCGGGAGTGCAGCGTGAAACGGGACGTGAAGGCGCCCAAGATGCCATAGACGACGCCCACCATGATGCCTCCAAGCGAAACCACGAAGAAGGAGACGACGCCGAGGAGCGCGTCTCCGACCGTCACGGTTCCTGCGTGGGAGAACTCCTCGAACAGGTGGTACAGAACCTGCAGGGCAGGAGGGCGGGCGGTTGTTAATCAGGAAATCGAACAGCTCGATGGGCTCCTGAGGCGCGGTCGCTCAGCTCACCACGGTGACGGCGTCGTTCAGGAGCGATTCTCCAAACACCAGGATGTACAGCAGCTCGTTGATGTGGATCTCCTCGAACACGGCCAGAACCGCCACGGGGTCCACGGCCGAGATGATGGAGCCGAACAGAAGGCAGGACAGCAGGCCCACCTGGTTGAACTGAGTGGCCCCGTCGATCTGACACACGGCGAACATCATCCCACCGATGAAGAAGGCGTTCCACAGCGTCCCCACCACCGCGAACACCAGGATGGTGCCCAGGTTCTCCGTGAAGGGCCGGATGGGCAGGAAGTACCCGGCGTCCAGGATGATGGGGGGCAGCAGGTAGAGGAAGAAGAGCTTCGAGTCCAGGATGGGGGCCTTCTCCTTCATGGCTTTGATGACGCCGCCCACCAGCAGGCCCACGAAGATCAGCAGGCAGCTCTCCGGGACGACGTGCGACACTCGTGGAATGACGTGAAAACCTGCAAGAACCATTTTAATCATCAGAACTGGACCCGATGGTTGAACTGTGGACAAGCTGAACCGATGGATTAAAAGATGTTCAGGAGACATTAAAAACTCATGTCCACCTCATGCGGGTTTGATTCTGCGCAGCCGGAAGGACCTCCTCGTCCCTCCGGGACATTTAGGGTTTGTTTTGAGTAAACTGCGAGCCGCCGAGGCCCTGAAGCCCGACTGACCCGACCGGTTGAAGACGACGCGTCTGAACACATTTAACTTTCGTTTTTCTTCCACCACAAATCACGAGCGTTTCATCCCCGCCAGGGAAAACGAAGCCGACGGCAACAGAACACGGTCGGGTGGTTTGGGTCCATATTTTCCTGAAGAAACTCAGATCCTCACGTTTGTCGACAGAAAACTCTGGTACGACTTGTCAAAGATAAAAAACATCTAGGTGTTGAGCGTGCTGCAGCTGAACTGCTCCTTTAGCTTTAGAGCCTTCAGCTGATGTGACGGAGGCGAGGGCGGCTCGAGGAGTCGTCCCTCCTGACCCGCCACACGGACGTTGTCGTTATCAAGCGGTGCGTGTTGGACAGGAAGTGGGACCAGCCCTACGAGAGGACAGCTGGACAGACAGATAAGACGCTGCAGAACCTCTGAGCGTCCTCGGCCAATCAGAGAGCCCCCTGGAGCCGAGCGGCCCGTCGCGACCGGACCTCCAGCCACTACAGCTGGTTCTGGAACCAAGCCGACGTGAACGTTCACGGGTCTTTAAGGTTCAGGTGAGAACGAGGCCTCGTCAGTAAACGACAGAAGAAACTTTCAGGACGTCCAAGTGTGGACAACTGCGTCTTTTAGGGGATTCTTTGGTGGAATTTTGGCTAGTTTACTTCTTTTAGATTGCCTTAAGATTCTTTTAGCTACTTTTGATTCTTTTAGCTAAACTTTTG